AGCCTATTTAATCTAAGATTTTGGATCATGCCTGATGTTTTTATTGACATTACATGAGCACTTTAGATAATTTTTAAATTTTATTTTTATCAAATAATCAAATTATAATCAAATAATCAAAATAATTATGTATATTTATGGTATATAACCTGATGTTTCTATAATGTATACCTTATAGAAAGATTCAGTCAAGCTCATTAACGTATCTGTCACCTCACCAACTTATCTTTTTGTGATGGGAACAATAAAAATCTATTCTTTTAGTAATTTTGAAATAAGCAATACAACATTATTAACTGTGGCCATCATGCAGTGCAGTAGATCCCCAAAACTTTTCCCTGTAGTATGAGTGAAACTTTGTACCCTTTCATCATTTTCCTTTTCCCCCATCTCTCCCCCTGCCCCCAGGCTCTGGTAACCACCTTTCTAACCTCTGTTTCTATGAGATCAATATTTTGTTTTGATTACACAGAAGTCCAGTATTTGTCTTTCTATGCTTCGCTTATTTCACTTAATATAATATATATCCTTCAGTTCCTAACATGTCACAAATCACAGGATTTCTTTTCTTTTTAAGGCTAAATAATATTCCATTGTGTTTATATACCATACTTTATCCATTTATCCATTGATAGACACTTAGATATCTTGGATATTGTGAATAATGCTGAAATGAACATGGGAATGCAGAATATAATCCCAAATCACAATTTTTACTATTCTGCTTCCTTTACCTGTTGTAGATGCTTTCTTCTTTTTTTTTTTTTTAACTTTTGTCTTGTGCAAATATTAGCCATTAGGGAATAAAGTAGTAGATTCTCTTTTCCTAAGGATTTGTTGCTTTATAGTTTAAAGAGAGTTCATAATTTAAACCTAAGCCATTATACTAAAGTTTTAAAAACACTGGTTCTTTTCAGCTATGTTAGTATTAGATCAGTATAACTTACTAAAGAGAATGACTCCTAGATATCTTCACTGGCAATCTTTAACTTAAGCACCTTAAAGTCAGGGGAAACTTTGTCCAATTCTATTTACTTATTTTAAAATTTTTTACTTGTTTTTCTCATTCATGAATACATCACAGATATAGAACAACTGATTTTTATTTAGTAGTATATATGTAAATTGCCCATTTTAAATTGACCGCAACACTATTTTGATTATAATTCATTATTCAACAAGAAAGTGTTTCTAAGTGATTTATTTAGTTAAGGGAAGAAGTTAAAGAAAAGGAGCCTTTAAGGAGGTAATAGACTTTGTCAATAAGCAAATCAAGCATTAGAATAACCGATAATCAACTCATTAACTGGGTAAAATGAAGAATTAAAAAAACCCCACATTCTCCTCAATGTAAGGTGAAATGTCCATGGCATGCACTCGTAGCAAGATAATTCCTAGTACTTCCAAACTGCATTATTAAAAAAAAGAAAAAGCCTCAGCTATTAGGATAGAAACACCACTCAAGAGTAACTTAAGCACTGAAGGAGATTTATTTGCTGTACTTGGAAGAAAGAGGAGTAGAATGGGTTTTAAATATTAATGTATGACACAGAGGTTCTAATTATGTGTTAGGATCCTTTCACCATCTCCCAGCTCTGATTCTTTGTAGATCCTCTTCTAATGTAAGTGGGCTTTCCTCCAAGTGGTGATGGTGGTGCTGGTGGTGGTGGTAAAGGGAGCTTTGTGAGGAGCAAGGCATAGAGTGACAGCTTCAGGATTGTCATTCCAACGCAAAGTGAGAACTCTCTCCTTCAAGGGCCTTCCCCTCCAAAGTAGCCTTGGAAGTCATTCTTTCTTTGTTAAATCAACTGTTTCCTTCATATCCTTTATCACAAATTATCTCATTTATCTATTTGCTCACCTGATCATTGTTTTTCTTTCCCACTACAAGGTAAAATCCACTAGAGCAGGAACTATGCCTATTTTGTTCATCACTGTAGCCCCAACATCTAGTAGGTACTCAGGAAATAGTAAGTGACAAATATATTCCAGGAAAGGACTCAGGTCCTTGTTGAGCCACTTGTCATTAATGCAGTCTAGAAGGGTAGGGTATTGTGATTGGCAGACCTAGAATCTCATGAAATAGGGAAATGACAAGTTTTCCACAGGAAACAGAGATACCATTAGCTTAAAAAATGGGGAAAGATGCTGAGCAAACAACAAATATCAGCCCACCATATGTGTTTATGTTCTTTAAGCATAGGTTAATATTTCACCCAACCACCCAGTCTGTAGTGTAGGGTTATGCAGATTCTGCACCTCATGGGGGATATTTGTCTGAGGAGACAGAGTGGAGGCTGAAATCCAGCCCAAAGCTCCACTCACGGGGCTTCCTTTTCTAGGAGGCACTCAGTTTTTAAATTTACACAAATTTATATGGTCTCCATGTACAGTGGTCCTGGTTGAGTATCCATCTGTCCATCTAACCTGAATAGCTTATACTAAAGGAAGAATACTAGGAGCAAAAGTATAGCTCAATTTGTCTGTGTGCCTGGATCCCACCAGCCAACTCAGTGTGGAATATGTGTTTAGCTATGTTCTGCAAAAATTCTGAGAGAGAGGACTGGTTTGGGGAAATTCCCCCTTTTTTCTTTCCTTTCTCTCCATTTTTCTACTTTGTGTTGCTAGTTAGTCGAACTTTGAAAGCACACATTTTGAGCTTCCTGAACTTTAGAAAGTGGCTGAAGGGTGAAACTGTTATCCTTCTTTCTTGTTTACTTACATTTCTCTGCATTTCCATTTTGATCAACCTGATAATTCTGCTTCAGGAGGAAGAAGTTGCCCGTCACTGGTCCTTCAGTGGAGTAGACCTGTATTATAGTTTAATCCTTTTGGGGTTTGTTTTGTATTTTATTTGATTAAAGATCTTTTTGAGGTGATGAAATGCTCACTATTTTAAAAAAGGTGAATGAGTTGAAGGAACAGAAACCCATGCAATCTAACTTACGTAAGGCTGCAGGGAATCTCGTAAGTTCCAGAGGTATAGCTGACCCTCTCTTTACCTCGAAGGCTCTCAGGCAGCTCGTCCAGCCTTTTCTTTCTGGGACTACTTGGTTTCGTCTCTGCTTCACTCTGGCCATTGTTCCATTCATCTGATTTTCTTGAAACACCAGCTTTCTCTGTATATTTACCAGCCTGTGAGTGACAAAAATGGCAGCTAGTACTTAATCTACTCATTGGATTCTCAGTGCAAATCCATAGGAAGTCTGCACCATAATCACTTGGAGAAGTTTTTTTTAAAAAAAGGCTTATTGCCTCAAACATAGATATTCTGGGTTAGTAGGTCTGGGGTCCTGGAATCTATATTTTAAAAATTTTCCCCGCCAGGAATTCCCAGACCCCTCCATAATCACGAGAGGGTGGAAAAGAAAGTGAGTGAGTGATGAAATGGCTGAGCCAGTCTCTAGTACCTGCTTATCTCCTAAGGAGCACCTTCTCTTTCTCCTTTTGTCACTACTTGCTGTTGATTTTCCTACCCAGAGAGGAGATGGATCTGCTAAGGCATTGAAAACAAATACTGAAGAATATGATAGTTTTCATTAAAAGCAGAAGTACTGGCAACAACAATTCTTAGTCTAACTTGGTATGTAGGCAGTCCAGTTAGAGAGTGGGGCCATCAGTCCCTTATCAAATCAGTGTCAATTGTTTTTTATCTGGGATGCCCTTAGAAGTAAGTATAAGACAGGCATGGGCGTTCCTGAAAAACACGTGGTCCTTTAGACCCATTGTGATAGATACTAATAGATAGCTTTGAAAGCCTCTCCAACTATGGCAGCAGTTGTCCAAATAGTCGGGCTGTCTACCTGGACAGGTGGTGTATGACCTTGCAGCTTCAGTGCCCATCACTCTCTGACTAGCTACAGCATGCTTCTGTATCTCTTAGTTCAAAGTCTTTAGAGTCACTGGCCAGCCAGTTGGGGGTGTCCTTTGGGATCATGGACCAGAGCAGACTTTGAGAACCGTGAATGGACAGAGAGAGTATTAAATAAATGCATTACAAGATTTCTTTTGGTTGGCTTGCACAATGGAGGATTAAGTGAATATCTATAATTTCTCTTTAGTTTGTTTATTTTTCCTAGATAGCGGAAGGATTATATTCCTAAGTAAATTATAATGAATTTTTTATATGTCAGAACTACAAATATGACTCCAACCTCATTTTATTAATATATGTGAAATAAATGCCTCATACAGTGTTCAGGATATCTACCAAGTGTTTTTGCAGTAAACATCATTCTTGTCTCTTCATATTTTAGTAACAAAATGTATATTAAATGGCAAATGAAGTAATATGGTTTATTATTTAATGTTTAAAGTACAGTGCCATGTGCTTTACCTTTCATTGTGTATTGGCATATGCAAAAGGTTGTAGTAATAGAGGCCATTACTTAATAAATCTATCCACTGTAGAAGTTTAGAGGCAGTTGAAGACCTTACATGGGTATTGATTACATAAAGTATGCAAAGATAAGAAACACTTTTAACCAAGATTGAGCACAAAAAAGCTCATTCTTGATTGGGTATGGTGGCTGATGCCTGTAATCCTAGCACTCTGGGAGGCTGAGGCGCGTAGATCGTTTGAGCTCAGGAGTTTGAGACCAGCCTGAGCAAGAGGGAGACCCCGTCTCTACCAAAAATAGAAAAAATTAACTGGGCATGGTGGTGCATGCTTGTAGTCCCAGCTACTCGGGAGGGTGAGGCAGTAGGATTGCCTGAGCCCAGGAGTTTGAGGTTGCTGTGAGCTAGGCTGATGCCATGGCACTCTAGCCCAGGCAACAGAGTGAGACTCTGTCTCAAAAAAAAAAAAAGATTGAACTCTGTATTATATTTGTGTACATAAAGCAGTTGTATGGCACAGAACAATGTGTTTGAAGCCCATAAAGTATAGTATCAGTACTTTAGGGTTGGTTTAAGAACGTGTGTTTTATATCGTTATGAGAATTTAAGTATCAAAGGTAGTTAATCTGATTTTTAAAAATTATTTTATTTTATTTTTTCAGATCCAATCCCTCTGTGGAACTTCTAAACATCTTTTATTAGTGGAAATATTTTCTACACAATGAAGTCAACAACTTAATTTAAACCAGCATCTGTGTGGTTCTGATTCATCTGCTATGGTTCATGAAGTTTGAGATCTGAGTAGTACAGGGTCTTTTGCGATGACAATATGACTAATAGTAAAGGAAGATCTATTACTGATAAAACAAGTGGTGGTCTAAGTAGTGGAAGAGGTTTTGTAGATTGGACTTTAAGTTTAAATACAATTCAATCTGATAAGTTTTTAAACTTGCTGTTGAATATGGTTCCAGTAATTTATCAGAAAAACCAAGAAGATAGGCACAAAAAAGCAAACGGCATTTGGCAAGATGGATTATCAACTGCAGCACAGACTTTTAGTAATAGATCTGAGCAACACATGGAATATCACAGTTTCTCAGAGCAGTCTTTTCATGGCAATAATGGGCACACATCAAGCTGTAGCCAAAGGTATGATGACTATGCCAACTATAATTACTGTGATGGAAGGGAGACTTCAGAAACTACTGCCATGTTACAAGATGAAGATGTATCTAGTGATGGTGATGAAGATGTTATTCTGGAAATAAACCACAAATTACCAAAGGAATCCAGTGGCATCATGGCATTGCAAATACTTGTGCCGTTTTTGCTCGCTGGTTTTGGAACAGTTTCAGCTGGCATGGTTTTGGATATAGTACAGGTGGGTTTTCATCTTTGTTTAACTTCACTGTCTCTTTTGTTATTCCATTTCTGTTTAAAATGCTTTATGTAAGTTACTAATCTCAAACATTTACTTTAGATTTAATTTAAATGAACAGATGCTGACTCTGGTGGAGAATGTGCTATTTCTGGGTGGGATTTTTTTCTTTTTTTTTTTTTTCTTAGAAGTTCTAAAAGAATAATTATTCTGACTATAATGTAATTCTTCTCTACAGACCCCAAAATAGGTTGGTTAAAGGAAAAAGCTAATAAATGTTATATTTAAATACTTCCTTATTTTTAAAATAAAAATTAACATATACTCATTACAAATATGAATTTGAACAATAGAGAGTATTACATAAAAGATGAAGAGATTCCCTTATTTCTTATCTCCAAACCAAGCCTCTCCTCCTCTCCAGAGGTTACCATTGTTAAGAGTTTGTTATGCATATTTGCAGACTTTTTTCCTATGCTTAGATATATACATATATAAGAGGTTTTTTTCAAAAATAAAAATCAAATGCTATTTTTTGGTGACTTATATTCATTGTTTAATAATACATCTTGGACATCTTTCCAAACTGGTACACAAATGGAAAAATGGGTAAAAAAAAAACCCCAAAAAACTATACCAGTACAATCCAAGTATTCAGTGTGCATAATTAGTCACCAGAGAAATCCCCATTAAAACCACAATGAGATACCACTCCACTTGTACCAGAATTTCTTTAAAATTAAAAAGACTGCTGATTCCAATTTATACATAAGAATATACAGCAGTGAGGGCTCTCATACACTGCTACTTAGACTGTAAATTGGTACAAACAATTTGGAAACCCATTTGACATCTATTAAATTTGAATATCTGCGTGTTCTAAGACCTGGAAATTCCATTTCCACATATATACCAAACAGAAATCTGTGCATGTGGATACCAAGAGTCTGGAAATACCACTCCTCCCAATGTCCATCAATAGCAGGATGGATAAATTGTGGTACAATATATTCATATAATGGATTACTAACCCAGCAATGAAAATAAACGAACTATAGATCTTGAAACTTACATAATATTGACAAAACAAAGTCAGACACAAAGGAACATATACTCTATACTTCCATTGTATAAAGTTTAAAAAGAATCGAGACCATACTATGGTGTGTAGGGATGCATACTTGTAGGATGAGCAAGGAGGTGCTTATCATAAACCAGATTAGTGATTACCTTTGGTGATAGGGAAAAAGGGTAGCAATTGGAAGGAGGCACAAGGAAGACTGATAAGTAGCAGTGGCTACTTTGGAAAATTCTTGGGCAGTATCTTCTAAAACTAAACATATATGTGCCATATAATCCAGCAGCTCTACTACTAGATACATACCTAATGGAAATGTACCCATAAGTTCACCAAAAGACACGTATAAGAATGTTCATAGCAGCACTATTTGTAATAGCCATAAAGAAAACTCCCCCAAATGCCCGTTGAGAGTAGAATGGATAAATATGTTCACAATACCTGAGTTGTATATGTAACCCTGGAACTTTGAATAGGGCTTTTTTCCTGTTGGGAAAGTGGAGGTTAGAGAGGAAAGGGATGCTTTGTTTGAAGTTTGTGGACAAAATACCAGTGTTTTTTTTTTTTTTTTTATAAAATATTTTAACTTTTATTATTTTAAATTCTTGTTTTTTTTTTTCTTTCCCCAGAATTCATATGTTGAAAAATACCAGTGTTTTAAAAGTGCAAAGAGAAGAGGGTAGTTTCAATGTTAGAGTAATTTTGTCACCAGTTTCTCTATTCACAATGCTAGGATGGCTTCACCATGTTTGTCCCTATTTATAAAGTAGAGCTATTGTTTTATTTTATTTTTATTTTTTTTATTAGAGGAACTCATTTATTTGACACATTAAATTAGGCAAAGAAAAATATATACAACTGGTTAAAAAGAATCACATTCTCATACTACTTGAATATAGCAGTGGTCAGAGCTATTGTTTTAGAGTTTGGTTTAAAGATAAAATACCTCTCCTAACATACTTGTGATGCCAGAATACACTAGCACTTCCTCTGATGTAATGGTTCTATTTTTCATTTAAAAAGTAATACATAGACTTCTACTTCTGGGAAGCTGTAGTAGATTTACGTTTATCTATCTCTCCCATTAAGTACAACTAAAAACTCTGGAGACTTTATATAATAGAAACATGAAAAAACTCTTAAAGGTGGAAGGAAGAAAGCAGACCAGCTAGGGACCTCGGGACCCAGGGAACAACACAGTAGTGAGTTCCCTGGGTCTTCTTTTTGCTTCATATATCCCAGACTTGGAGTCAAAGAAGCCGTTAACCCAAAATTGACAACAGGTCCAAAAAAAAAAAAAAAAAAAGCAACAAAAGCGTTGCTCTGTCTAGCCAAAGTACCAGGTAAGGAGCATCTTAGCAAGACAAAAATACTCTCAGCCAATAATTGTTCTACTGTAGCCAAACACTCAGAAAAAACTGGCCTTACGCATACCCACAGTAGCAAAGGTCCAATGGGAAGCTTAGACTTCCACCTCATAAGGCTTTAATGAGGTGCTCCAACACTTCAGCCAGGGTGGTGTCGGAGAAGAAAAAGTATGGTGCCCAGACTTTCATCTCTGTCAGATGATAGAGTTCCCGATTGAACTGAAAGGAGAAATAGAAAAATCCACGAAGTTGGAGATTTCAACATGCCTCTCAATAATTAATAGAACAACTACAGAAAATCAGTAAAGGTATAGAAGAACTCAACAATGCCATCAATCAATAGGATGACATTTATAAAACATCCCCCAGACAAACAGCAGAATATGCACATTATTCAAGTGCTCATGAAACATAAACCAAGAGACACTATATCCTGAGCCATAAAACAAACCTTAACAAATTTACATATTGAAATCATTCAGAGTGTGTTCTCTGACCATAGTAGAATCAAACAAAAAGATGACAGGAAAAACTCTAACACTTGGAAGTGAAACAAAATACTTTTAAATAATCCATGGATCAAAGAGGAAGTCTCAAGAAAAATAAAAAACAAAACAAAACAAAACATTGAATGGAATGACAATCAAAATTTGTGAGTCACAGGTAAAGCAGTATGAAGAAAAATTTATAGAACTAAATGCATACATTTAGAATGAGGAAAAATCTCAAATTAATAGCTCTCATCTCAGAAATTTAGAATAAGTTTAGCAAAATAAACTCAAAGCAAGCAGAAGGAAGGAAATAATAAAGGTAACAGGAAAAATCAATGAAATTGAAAACAGGAAAGCAATAGAGAAAAGTCAATGAAATATAGGTTCTAAAAAATATCAATAAAGCTTACAAATTTGTAGCAAGACTGACAAAAATATATAAATTGCCAATATTGGGAATGAAACAGAATACTACTGCAGATCCTGCAGACATCAAAAGGATAATAAAAGAGTACTACAAACAACTCTACACACATAAATTTTACAACTTAAAATGGAACCAGACACAGTGGCTCACACTTATAATCCCAGCTACTTGAGAGGCTGAGGTGGTAGGATTATTTGAGCCCAGGAGTTTGAGACTAGTTCAGGCAACATAGACCTCAAATTAGCCGGATATGGTGGCTTAAGACTATAGTCCCAGCAACTTGAAAGGCTAAGGTGGGAGGATCTCTTAAGCCCAGGTTTTGAGGCTGCAGTGAGCTAGGATCATGCCACTGTACTCCAGCCTGGGCTATTGGTGAAATTCCATCTCTATTTAAAAAACAAAACAAAAATAAAATGGAACCCTACAAAAAATACAACTACCACAATTCACCCAAATTAAATAAATAATTTAAATACCTCTACACCTACTCGGAAAATTGAATTCATAATCTTAAAACTCCCTCCAAAAGAAATCTTTAGGTCCAGATAGTTTCACCTGAAAATTGTACCAAACCTATAAAGCAGAATTAATATCAGTTCTACATAATCTCTTTTGGAAAAATGGAAGAGGAAGTAACACTTCCCAATTCATTTTAAGAAACTCGTATTACCCTGATACTAAAACCAAAGATAATGCAATAAAAGAAAACTACAGACCAATATCTCTCCTGAATATAGATGGAAAAATCCTTAACAAAACAATAACAAATAGAATTCAGCAATATATAAAATGAATTATATGCCATGAGCAAGTGGGGTTTATTCCAGGGATGCAAGTCTTGTTTAATATTTGAAAATCAACATAATCTATCATTTTGACAAGCTAAAGAAAAAGATCACATGATTATGTGAACTGATACAGAAAAAACATTTGACAAAATTTAACATCTACTCATGAAAAAAACTCTCAGATAAATAGGAATAGAGTAGAACTTACTGAACCTTGTACTTCATGGTGAAATACTGAATGCTTTTTCCCTAAGATCAGGTATAAGGCAAGGATGTCCACACTCATCACCTTTATTCAACATAGTGCAGTAAGGCAAGAAAAGGGGAAAAAAAGGTGTATAGATTGGAAAGGAAGAAGTAAAATTGTTTCTTTTTACAGATGACATGATTGCTTAGAAAATTTCAATGAATCTACCAAAAAAACTCCTCTTGGAATTGATAAATGAGTTCATCAAGGTTTTAGGATACACAAGACACATACAAAAATTAATCCTATTTATATGTACTAGCAATGAATATATGGATATTGAAAATAGATATAATACCATTTAGAGTCACTCAAAAAATAAAGACCTAGATGCAAATCTAATAAAACATGTGCAAGACTTTTATGCTGAAAACTACAAAACAAAGTAATCAAAGGAGATCTAACTAAATGGAGAGATATACCATGTTTGTGGATTGGAATACAACAGAATAAAGATACCAGTTCTTTCCTAATTAAAATACAAGTTTAACAGAATTCCCTCTTAAATCTCAGCAAGATTTGTTTATAGATATAAATGTTATTCTAAAATTCATATGCAAAGCAAAGGCAAATAGAATAGTTTTAACAGTTTTGGAGAAGTAAAAGTGGTGTTTTTGATTTTAAGATCTATTACATAGCTAAATAATCAAGACTGCATGGTATTGGAGGATGAATAGGTACATAGATTAATGCCATAGAATAGACAACCTATAGATAGACCCCCACAAATATGTCCAACTTATTTTTGACAGAGGTGTCAAAGGAGAAGAAAGTCTCTCTTCTCCTATATGCACCCTTACCCTGTTCCTTTCCCTAGAGACTATTGTTTCTAGTTTTTTTTATATCTCCTTCAATAGATATTAAATGCATGCATGTGCATTTATATATGTATTTTCTAAAAAACAAAAACATTCTGTAATGTTGCTCTTCACCTTGATCTTAATTTATCTTGGATTTCCTTCTATACACATACACACAGATTTACCAAATTCTTTTCCAGCTAGATAATACACTATTAATAAGGATATATCATAGTTAATCAAGTTACCTAATGAAGAGAATTTTAGTAGCCTCAAATCTTTTGTTATGAACAATGATGAAGTAAATGCATTGTATGTTGTGTATTTGAACTCACGTGCAAATTTATTTGTAAGTCAGATTCCTAGAAGTAAAATTCTGTGTCAAAATTATGGGGCATTTTACATTTGCTAGATAGTGTCAAATTCCCCCAAAGAAGTTAAACCTTTACATTCTCACCAACAGTGTAATATGGTGGTGAGCGTAGCAATAGACCTAAATAGAGTATTTCCTTGTACTCTGACGAACAGTTTATTTTCCAACTTTTTGATCTTTACAGATCTCACAGATGAAAATGTATCAACCTTTAATTTGCATTTCTGTAATTATGAGTGAGTTTGGTCATTTTGTCATATGTCTAAAAGTGAATGGGCTTATTTTTTCAAAATAAGGTAAAATGACAAAATTTCTCCAGATATAAAGATTCGGGGTTTGTATTCCTTTTTAATTGCATAATCTTATTTTGCCAATTCAATGTATAAAAACATTTTATATTATTTTTAAGTTAGAACTCCATAAATGTGTTCTTCAATGTACTTTGTTATTACTTTTAAAATTTTATTTTTGTTTGTGGATATTAAATAGAATTTTAGGTTTTGAGTCTATATATAACCAATCTGACATTATATCTGACACGCGGGTGTTTACCACAGGTTCTGCATTACTGACGAAAGAACAAGATTCTTGTTCTTGAACAAGATGTAAGATAAGAAGTTGATTTACTTTAGGGGAGGTTTGTGAGAAGTTTAGCAGTTCATAATAACCTATGTAGCCTCAGAGGACATAGTGTATCATGGTAAAATTTGTAAGTAAGTGAACATTATATTTGGCACTGGCTGCCTCTCTGGACTTTTTCTGCATTATGTCCTTCTGACAGAAAAATTAACTGTTAATGCATCTTGGTGTTATAGCTAATAAACACTTAATTCATTATTCTATGCAGACACCATCCCGAGCAGAATCTTATGAGGTTGGTACAATTATGTCTGTATTTTAGATGAAGAAAGTAAAGCATTATTTTGCCCAAATCACACAGAATTTGAGCCTAGGCAGTGTGACTCCAGAGCCCTTTCTCCCCAACTATGGTGCCATGCTACTTTGCACCATTCCAGTAGTTCCCAAACTGTGTATCAAGACACCCCAGGGGTGCTGCAGGATATTTTAAATTTTTGAGGGAAACACAGTGACATCTCCTGGATGTGCCACAGACTACTAGCTCAAAGTGGTTCAACATTTCAACACTAGATCACACTCTATTTCTTTTGATGACATACATTAGCAAAACTGCGTTTTCAGCAGTGCTGTTATTAAAAAACAGGAGTCACACAAAAGCTAATGTAAAACTGGAACAGAAGGTAACAGTTTCCAATTCCAAAGTTTGAAAAGCTGTGCAGTGCCTAACAGGTACATACATCACATTAGTAAATAATTGTGATTATATAAAAATGACATAAAATATATTTTTCTTTCAATGTATTTGTATTATTTCTTCAAATGGCTACTAAATTGTTAGGAAACATAAACACTTATTAAGTTGTTTGGAACTAACTAGTAGATAAACAGGACCATTAGGTATTTATTTTGTTGTAGGGGTGCCATGAAAACATTTCTGAGACACTAGGTGTGCTGTGACCTGAAAAGGTTTGGGAACATCTGCAAGCACACGTCTGCTGGTGTAGTGAAAAGAATGAAGAATTTTTTTGGCATAAGATAGGAAATCAATAATTAATAGCTCTTACTGTTTTTTATCATACTGATGCTGAGGTATTCAGGATTACATAGTGATTCTCACATGAATATTTGATTTGAATTAAACTTGGAAAGAATAACCAAAGGGAGTAACCCAAAGGCATATGTCCCAACAGGTCTCAAGTGTGATGGCATGTGATGCTCTCACACCACAATTATCAACATAGAAGACTTCTGTGACCCAGTGTGGGGGGTTTTTCTCCACACACCAAGCAAGTAATCAGGTCTGCAGCAGACACCAACTGGGTATCCTCCAATTCAGTTCTGACTACCTGGAGTAGTGCCCGATCCCACAGATCCACAAGACTGCTCCCTTCCTGCAGACACCAGAGGCAAGTCTGGGCCTCCAGAACTTCTGACCGACCAACCAGCTTCAAGTTAGGGTTTGCACGACTCCCTCTTCGGGTTCGATTAATCTGCTAGAGCAGCTTACAGAACCTAGGGAAACACGTTTTTAAATTTATTATAAAGGATATTACAAAGGATATGGATGGAAAGATGAATGGGGAGGGGTCGAGGCACAGAGCTTCCATGCCCTCCCTGTGCCCCCTACCAGGAACCTCTAAGTGTTCAGCCATCTGGAAACTCCCTGAACCCAGTCCTTTTGGGTTTTTATGGAAGCTAGGTAGGCATGGGTGATTAAATCATTGGCCATTAGTGATCAGTTTAACCTTCATCCTCTCTCCTCCCTAGAGGTTGGGGTTGAGAGGCTGAAAGTCTCAACCCTCTAATCATGCCTGGTCTTTCTGGTGATCACACCCTATCTTGAAGCTCCCGAGGGGCTGCCAGCTGTCTGTCAAGCACAAGCATACAAAAAAATATCACTTTGGACAGTCTAAGAACTATAGATGTATGCCAGGAAACAGAGTCGAAGACTAAATATATATTTCACAGTATCATAGTAGGTGTCTTAAAATGATGACCTAGGTAAAATGTATTCTGAATTATGTCTGGGATCTAATAAAAATAATACCTATTTCACAGGTTTGTTGTGAAGATTAAATGAGTAAGCCTAAACAGTGCCTGGAACATAACAATCAGTGAATGTTAGATGTTGTTACTATTTATTATCTGTTGTTCATCATCATCATCATTAGTACCATCTCTGAAGGATATATATTTCACTAGTACACCAGAATCATTAGCCCATCATAAAACATGGACAAAATTGTTTGCTTGTTTTTAAGACTAAAAATCTAGGGTGCTATTGGACCACCAGTGGTTTTTTAGGCCCATCCTTAATTGGCTTGAACTATGGAGGGATTTCCCTTGACAATTCCTTGAACCAAGGGTTTTACAGAAGACTGATCTGGTAAACATTTCCTGAACTCTCGTTAGGCCCCAGTTGTATACCTATTTGGAACAACCTCTGGGAAAACTTTGGGAACAAATTGAATTTTTCTTTCGTTTATCTGACGAAGTTTTACTTTTCTTGCCTGTCTTGATATTAGTGACAAGCCATGTATTCTTGATATTTTTTGGCATAAAATTACTATGCCTAGTCCATAAAGTCTCTTACTGAGACAATCACTTTTTAATAGTATTTGTGAAAATCATTTTGTGTTATTAAGATATTTGTATAGTCTTTTTAGAAAGCACTTTATCTGTTATTTTCATTTTCCTGGTATTTCTCTGAGGGGTAGACAAGGTGGATAGTATCTTCATTTCATGGATGAAGAATCAAGATCAGAAATATACGTGACTTATCCAGGATCACACAGCCAGGTTATGACAGATCAGTGCCTAGAAGCACAAATCTTATTTCCAGTGTAGTGCTCTTTTATGATCCTGTGTTCTGCAGCCTCTCTGCTCATGCCCTAAAATAGGGACCAGAACATAGGACTAATCAGAACTCCTGAGGTCAACTCTAGGTCCCACCTATTGACCTTGGGAAAATAATTTATCCTCTCTGAATCTTTATTTCTTCATTTGTGAAATTAGATAATAATAGTACTGTAACTTTCCTGTGGGGTTGTTGTGATTAGTTGGAAGCAAGATTCAAATCCAGATTGTCTTGTTCCAGAGTTTGCTTTTAACCACTGACTGTATACTTCAGGGGTCCTCAGACTACAGCCACATATGGCCTGCCGGGTGTTTTTGCCGTTGCTGCCTGTCCTCCTTAGCAGCTGACTCGTTCCGGCCCACAGTGTGCATGTGTGGAATGTGCACCACACTCTCCAACGGCCTTCCAACGGTCTGAGGGACAGTGAACTAGCCCCCTGTTTAAAAAGTTTGAGGACCCCTGGATGATTCTTGCCATCATAAAGGGATAAAGTAAAATTTAAGAGTATCAGGGTTGTCTTAAGAGTATCAGGGTTGTGTAAGAGCTAGATGTAGAATGGGATGTAGTGACTGTATCAGCTGTCATTCCCAACTCTAACTGAACCTTCTAAAGTAACTCAAAGCTTCAAAGCTCAGGAAGATGGGGTTAAGCTAAGTGCTCATTGATTAAATGACCTGTGTAGTCTTTCAAAATGTAGATGTAAAGTTGGAAAAAAGGCTGTAGTTTTTAGGAATGTCTTTGTTCTAAAGTGTTTTTTAAAGAGTGTCAGAAGATTCTTTTTTTTTTTCCCCCCTGTACAGCACTGGGAGGTGTTCAAAAAAGTTACAGAAGTTTTCATTTTAGTTCCTGCACTTCTTGGTCTCAAAGGGAACTTGGAAATGACATTGGCATCCAGATTATCTACTGCAGTAAGTTTTCCCCTATAGTATATATTACCTATGCTGTTTCTCTGTGAGAACCTGTACCAGGAAAAGATTTTTTTTCCTATAAATCCAATAAGTTTCTAAATTTCAGGGGCTATGCTAGGTAGTTATGCCTGGTGTCATACCCTGAAGGATCTGAGGGTTGTCTGATCTGAAAATTATAGACCCTTTCTTATCCTGAGAAGTAGTACACTTGCCTTCTTTGATGCCAGGAAATTCTGGCAATTATCATCACTGCTTAAGACATGGGTAAATCAGATAATGCGATTCTTTATGGTTCAGTGGTTGGTTGATTGGTATTTAAACTGTTTTTGATTATAAACATAATACATGCTTATTGTAAAAACTTAGGAAAAATAAAAAAGTATAAAGAAAAAATTTTAAACTACCCCTAATTCTCCACTTGGATATAGCCACTATTAATATTATATATATAGATCCTTCTATACCTACATATACCTTCTATACTATATATAGGTATATCATATAAATAAACACTGTGTATTCTAAAAAAGAAGAACTGGTAGAATTCTATATGTTCTCTTTTATAACCTGTGATGGCCATTTAAAAGTACATCATGATCATCTTTCCATATCAATAAATGTAGATCCATGTCATTATTGTTATTGGCTATGTACTTCTCTGTTATATTGCTCTACTGCAATTTACTCCATCATCCATTATTAGATATATAAGGTCTTTCTAATGTTCTGCTATTACAAACAATATTGTGAGGAATATTCTAGTATACACATTTTCCCATTCTTATTTTTTTAGGGCAAATGCTAGGGTTGTAATTATCATTCAAAAAAAATCTATACTTTTATGTCTTTAGCTACATATTGCTAAATTATCATTCAAAAAGGTTACACATTTTTTAAAATAATGCCACTAGTAGGGCTCCAAGTTACTTTTAGAAGCCTAAAAGGACATTGTTATCTTATTATAATATTTGTTTGGGGTTTACCATTGTGGAACCAAGTTATGATTAAAACCACATAGCTAGTGAGGTTCACTTCAGTGAGCCATCTGCTCACTGAATGTTAGCCAAAAATTAATGAAATCATCAGGTAATATTATCAATTACAGTATCTTTGGTATATAAACCTTTTTGTTTAAAGAAGCTAGAGCAAATGAATCCATCAGTGAACAAGGAAAAAATATATTCATGTATCTAAAGGTAATTAAGATTGGAAGCCAAACAACTGTGATGTTGATGGGAATTTTCTCCCCTTTTCCTCCCCAATAACCCAGTACCCCACCCCACCGGCAACTGTGACTTTCCTAAAATTTTTTGAGTAAAGTAAATTCTTGGAAAGGAAATTCATTAAATAATGTTTTATTAACATTATTGGTTTGCTTAATTAAGGGAAAAGGCTTCAATGGCTTCATGTGCCCCATGGAACTTTCTAAGCCTCTTCCTTATATAGTATATAAAAGGTCATATAGCTATACTCTGCACAGGGCTCTAATGAAATATCTGGTATTAGTAAGCTCTTATAATATGCCAGGTACTGTGCTGCTTCCAGAAATATCTTATAGCAACCCTATGAGATAAACACTATATTCCCATTTTATCAGAGGAGGAACTGAGGTTTGTAACAGTTGAGTAACTTTCCTGAGGATGCAGAGCTCTAGTACATAGTGGCATAAATCATATTCCAGAATATTCCATTTACTTATACAAGGTAACTAACTATGTCGGAGTTTATAAAACCAATAAATAAAAGAAATAACAAAAACCTAATAGCCTCCTCATTTACCTTATAAGATTGATCTGCTAAGGTCTTGGTCTTAGCATCAATATGCAGTATTTTGGGTACTTAATATTTAATAATTTTTGATATTCATTATTTCAAAATATTATTTACAGATATAATACTGTTGCTTTTCCCTGTAGTTAATTGGAGAGCTATAGATGTTGTCTGGGGGTATCCACTAACCACTTAGGTAGACCCAAACTTCATAGAGTAGAATTACTTTGGTAAAGTCACTTTAGTCTATAATCTAGCATGTGGTCATTGTAACTATTGAATATTAAAAGGGCTGAAGGATAATAGAAGCTCTTTGGGCTGGAGCAGAAAAGTACAAGATCAATCTGGAACATCTTGTGATGTCAGAAAGTAAAGAAATGCTGAAAAAGAAAAAAAAAAAGTGAAAAGATGGGGCCATGATGGAAGTACAGGATGACATACTGGCCAGATCTGGGACAATTTGAGCCACACAATAAATAATGTTAGTTATAGATTATTTATAACCTGTAGAATAAAATAAGATTCTTTTCATCTATAAATGAAAAACAAGGCGGGCAAGGTCTCTGCTGTGATGAAATTTACACAAATTCAGATATCAGGGCAGTGGAGGAAATAAATAAATCTGGGTAATGTGATGAAGGATGATTCAGGAGTGCTATTTTATATTATGCTTTTAGGGAAGCCTTCTCTGTGGAAATGATGTGTAAGCTGGAACCTGAATAATAAAAATGAGTTAGCCATGTCAAAACCTGAGAAAAGACTATTGCATGTTGCCATTGTATTTAATCAGTAATAATGTCAAATAATTATAAGTATTTTAGATCGGTCTACTTTAACAGTTGTGCTTGGGGCAGGAATACAAATGGAGGCCCACATAACATGTCTACATGGTTTAAAATTATATAGTTTACAAACTTAAAAAAACAACAACTCTCTTTCTACTTTGACAAATATATCCTTCTGAAGATCTACAAGTTCAAGATCAAATTTAGAATTTTTGGAGTTCTTGAGTTCTGTTTTAGAACATGGCGTCATGGAGGGATACAGCCCCTGCTCTCAAGCCTGACCCCTTCCCACTTTGGGCTCTTGTGTACTATACTCTGAAAGACCTTTTACACATAACTCAGGCCCCATGTCCAAGCTCTATCTATACTCCCAACAAAAAGCCATGCCTTGGCACTCCTGGGGTTGGGCTGCATTTAATGGTGGCATGGTCTGCCTTCAGGAATACTAACTTGAAGAAGCCCTGGAACTGGGCTCCAGGCCATTAGGGCAGGGAACTTTATGGTCCCACGTATCTGGAACAGAACCTAGAATGGGATGAGGCACAGGCTTCAAGTAGGCATACCCCTTGGGCCCTATCTATGCCTCACTTTGTGGGGTGAGGCATAGCTAAAGTAGGGCCAAAGTGGGGCCCTGTAAACTTTGGTTCTCAGAGCTGGGGCCTCACTTACCATAATATCAAGTAATATATATATATATATTTATTTATTTATTTATTTTTATTTTTTCTGAGACAGGGTCTTACTCTGTTGCCCAGGCTAGAGTGTAGTGGCATCATCATCAAAGCTCACTGCAACCTTGACTCCTGGACTTAAGTGATCCTCTTGCCTCAGCCTCCTGAGTAAATGGGACTATAGGCACAGCCACTAGACCTGGCTAATTTTTCTAGTTTTTGTAGAGATGGGATCTTGCTATGTTGCTCAGGCTGGGATATAGAGTACTATTGATTCTAGATTCCATGAGTGAAAACTTATTTTAGACTAAGAAAAATTACATGACATAGAAGAGGTTTTGAAACTGCTTTGTGATATATGTAAGATATTAAAACAAGATGGAAGAGCAGTCATGTATTGAAAAGGTTGCTTCACCAAAAGAGCCTTAATATTGTACTCTGCAAGTAACAATATCAACATAACAGGACTTACTAATGACTAGTGATTGTTTGCAGAGGAAGCAATTCTTTTACTGGAACCTTCGAAAGTAGCCAAATGAATGTATCTTGAAGCATACAAGTATTTCTTACATATATTTATCTGCTATAAAAATCCTCTCATTCTACTCCTGAGAAGATACTGAAATTGGCATGGAGGCAATAATAGCTGACACATGATGGAAATGTATTACTTCTTTGATTATCTTGAAAGCCAGTTATGTTGTTCCATTATCACATTTTTAGATCCAAGGTTTAAGGATATATTTTTCAGCAAACATTTTTAACCCTAAACCCCTAAAGCACTCAAGCCTTCTCATTATATCACTCTGCAATCCTGCCTTGTACCTCCAGGCCCACAAAGAACTCTAAATGTCCTAAGTATTTACTGTTCTTAATCCCCAACATGACATTAAGTGAATTGGTTCTGTCATGTGAGTATAACTGATTGTTTCCCCTAAAAAAGACAGACACTTGAGTTAAAAGAAAAAGGATATATTTTTTTCTCAAGTGATTATGTGAAGCAGTAAGTGTACTTAAAAAATATAAAATAAAAAATATAAGTTAGGGCAACAACATTAGACTTGTCTGAAAATATTTAGAATGCATCGAAAGCATCATCGTCATCCAACAGTGCACAAAGTTTCAGTATGGAATTATTTTAATGAAATTATATCATTGCTATCAACCAAATCTTCAAAGCTAGGAACTGGAGATAAATCTTTTACCAACTATTATATGATAGGAAAGAAAGCCTAATAATTTGGTGATACCCTCATTCTCAGCAGTATTTAGACTGGCAAAGGCAGCCAAAAACAATCTTGATTCTTTGATTCTCTAATGACTTGTTTAAAAGTAAGCCTGGTCACTGTGGCTCATACCTGTAATCCTACCACTTTGGTTGGCTGATGTGGGAGGATCCCTTGAGCCCAGGAGTTTCAGCCTGAGCAATTTAGTGAGACTCTGTCTCTATAAAAAATAGAAAAATTAGCCAGATGTGGTGGTATACACCTACTTAGGAGGCTGAGCCAGGAGGATTGCTTGAGCCCAGCAATTTGAGATTGCAGTGAGCTACAATGATGCCACTGCACTCTGGTCCTGGCAATAGAGTGAGACCTTGTCTCAAAATTTTTTTAAATTAAAAAAAAAGTAAGCAGCTATATAGTATTACAGATATGAAGTATAGTAACCATAGGATCAATCCAGCAGCTCTCTCAGTGCTAAGAAATTATTTCTTAAAAAATCTAATAATTAAATTATATGTTGTTTAAAATTTTATTATATTAAGTTTCATATT